CGGGGAGTGGGTGCCCAGCCCAGGGCGGCCCTCCGTGCTGCCGCGATGTCCGCGGGCAAGGTCAAGCCGGGATAACATTAATTAGCGGTGCCTTCGTGGTGTGTGTAGGTACCGCTCGGTGTCCTGCCGGTGCCTGCCTGCCCTGTCAGGCGGGCCGGCGTTTCAGCCTTGCCGGACTTTTTTTTCCTCTCATTTCAAAGGTTGTCATTGTGCTTTATTTGGGGGGACAAACAAACAAACAAAAAGAAAATGAAAAAAAAAAAGGAGAACGAGTGGAAGTTTCTGCCTGATGTGTAGCAGAGGAGTTTTGTACCGAGTTCCTGAAAACTGAACTTTTAATTAAAAGGACTTGCCAAAAGGTAACTATGCAGGGTGTTTTGCAAGCCCCTGAGGTTCCCTGGTGTGTGTAGAGGCATGAGTGTGTACTTCATGTTGCTGTGATGAGTCAACAGTGTTTATTTTGTGCACGTATTAAGTATTTCCCAAGGGAAATGCAGCCAGTGTGGATGAACAAACTGAATTTGTTATGGTCTAGATGGAACAGCCTGCATGCGCGTGAAGGAAAATGTGAGTCTTAAGCAGAAACCACTTAGGCCTTGAAGTGTAGGGTGGGGTTTTTTGGTTGGGATTTTTGTTGGTTTGCTTTTTTACATTTCCTCTCAAAGTAAATATTTGTATTTGGAGCTTCCAAGGAATCTCTGGCAGGGGGCAATAAATAAAATTCAGGAAAAAGGTCTTCAGAAGTAATGGTGAAGTTAATCTGCTCCTTTAACATACCAGGAACCTTCAGTGAGTCAGCAGCAGAAGTACCTCTGCCTGTCCTGAGTTTGCTGCCCAGATTCCTTTAACATCCATGACATTTTCACAGTCAAAACATTTTTCTCAGAATCACATAATGTTAGGGGTTGGAAGGGACCTCTGGAGATCGAGTCCAATCCCCCTGACAGAGCAGGGCCACCAGGTCACACAGAAGGGCATCCAGATGGGTCTTCAAAGTCACCAGAGGAGACTCTACAACCTCTCTGGAGAACCTGTTCCAGTGCTCTCTAACCCTTACAGTAAAAAAGTTCTTCCTCATGTTGAGGTGGAACTTCTTGTGCTCTGTTTTTCTCTGTGTCTTTCCAAATTTCTCCGTTTGTGGGTGTTGTGGGTCATTGTTCTATTACAACAAGTTTCCAGTTGATAAGTTGTTGCTCTTTTCCATCCCATATTGCCTATCCAGCTTTAATTTCTGTCCAGCAAAGCCAAGTTCAGTGTCGAAAATAGGATTTTGGTTTGGGCGGGTTTTTTTTGTTTTGTTTTTTTTTTTCTCCTATCTGTTTGCAAGAAGTGCCTTTTAAAATAAGACTGTGAATTCTATTTTATGTATTAACCTGTATTTTAAAAGATGCTGTTATAACAATAGCTTGTGAAATTCACATTCAGTGACTCTCTGGTACTCTGAGATATGCAGGTCTGGGTTTGTCTCAGTTCTGGTTTTTGTCCTGCAGAAGTATTTTGAGTCTTATATTTTGCTTCTGAACTCTTCTTTGTCCTTTCACATTTAATTATTTACTCTGTATTTTGACTTTGGTTAAAATCTGGGTTGTTCCTGCTGTTGTTCAGAGTTTCTAAGGGAAGGAGATGGAACTAATTTGAGGTGCAGATCCTAGTATCTTTGATGAGAAACAACATTAACCTGGTACATAACTATTGGTACAGGGACAGTTTGAGGCTTCAAAAAAAATTGTTATATTGAAGTACTTTAACATGAAGATTTTAACATGCTATGAACTAAGGTATGAGTTAATCTGATACAAACTTGTACAGCTTCTGAGACCCAGTTTGGTTTGATTTTTCTGGGCAGCTGATCGAGGAATATGTGACCTCAGTGTGGGCTGAACTCGGCTGTTTTGCTGCTCCTCGACCTGACACCCTGGGAGTGAGAGAGCTGGGGGACAGATCGGAAATGCTCCAGTCTGATGGGTGGCCTGGCTGGTGTTGACCAAGCACAGCTCTGAAACTGCAGTAAAGGCATCCTGGTGAGTAAAGAGCAATCTGTGATACATTTGTTGTGTGATGCTTACTTGTTAGTTACACATTAGATGATCATAGATTGGTAGGATCATTTTGGTTGGAAAGGACCTTTAAGATCATCACATCCAACCACGAACCTAGCACACTGCCAAGTCCCCTGGTCTCTGTTCTCACAACTTTGTCTGTTACTGTAATTGCTCTGGATGCAAAATAATGTTTTTAATTAGGTTCTTCTTGTAACTTGTGTGATTAAAGCTTTCAGATAAATATCTGATTAACATCTAGCATGTAGCTACCCTGCTCTTTTCTGCAGTGTATGATGTCATTCCTACATATGTTCCATCCATATTCCAGTTGATCTATTCTAGTAGGCCAGATAGCAGCTGAGCATGGGTACTGCTTGTGGGTCTAACTGATGCCTTTTAAATAAGATGTGAGGAGTGCAGAGTGGACACAACCAAATGCTGCCACTGAAGCTGTGCACTTATTCAACTAGGACATAGTTTGGTGCAAACCTGGTTGTGGACAAAGTAATTTTGGCTCAGTTTCAGTTCATGCTAGTCAATTTGGACTAGTTCAGGGTTGGGTTCTGAAACCAGTTTAACTGATTCACGTTGAGAAGTGAAATATTTGAAGGTGAGTCTGGGCTTTCCCTGTGGCCTTCCCCAAAAAAGATGCCCTGGCTCTGTCCCTCGGGGCCCGGCAGGGCACCGCGCTGCCTCCCCACGGAAGCTGCAAGGGGTACCTGTCCCCAGCCCCGGAGCTGTGTCAGGGGGATGCCGTGATGCCCGTCGGTGGCTCTGGCCGAGCTCGGAGAACCGGTGCGGTCTGTGGCCATTGGTGCGGGGCCTGGAAGGCTGCGGGGGCGTCCGGAGCCGGGTGCTGCTGACACGGGCATGGAGGTGGGAGGGAGGTGCACCGGGGGGCAGCGCTTCCGCCCCGGTGACCCTGACGGGGCCGCGGGGGATTTCTGTTTTGAATAAAGGCACGTATTGGGCTCTGGCGGGCTCGCCGCCTCCAGGGCACGTTTCCCCT